AAGAATAAGTTTACAAGAGAAAAAAAAAATGCACACTTCTCAACTTTCCATATTTTCTTTAAACTTCTTAATAACCCTAAAGTTGACGCTTCCCCTCTCCCCCTATAAAAGAAAAAAATAAAACGACCGAATTTTAAAGCGTGAAATTAAGACGACCGAATTTTAAAGCGTGAAATTTCCAAACTATCCTTAAGATCGATCCATATGTTATTTTGACGTAAGATATTATTAATCATCAGCGCGATAATTAGACTACATAGCTTAACACACTGTAGAAAGTTCCGAACAACAATAACTTATAATGTGCTTGTGATAAGTGTGAACTCACATTGTGAGCCTGTGATACAACCACCAAGAACAGATCTTGACTAAAGTAGGTAATAGTTAGACATTGCAGACCAATAGCGATCATGAAGATTATAAAGGTTAATTGCCCATGATAGAAGTGGCCCACCTAATGATATCATGCACCTCATTTGACTGTCAACGGACCCCCTCAATTTCCTGTGTAGTTTGATGATTAAACATTTCACGCCAGTTTTGATAGCCTTTCCATTAAGACATTGATAATATTAACACTGCTAGTATGTGAAAGTGATATGAGTGTTGATTGTTCTTTGGCATGCTCATAATAATAGTGCTGTAGATCATATGATGGGTGTCAATGATTTTGGTTAAAATTCTTTAAAGTACTGACGTCAAATGATAAACAGATTTTAGATTTAAATCTTTTCCCAATAAAATGTTTTAAAGAGGAAAAAAAAAATTAATCCAAGAACATATATAGTCATGTTATAATGTGCATACATAGGTATTAGAACTCATTGTTCTATGTATATTTTGTTGGTCTCTAAATTAGTGATCAAATTAATATTTTTTCCTCAGATTTAAGGGCTCTTGGTTTCGAAGTAAAACACAAGTTTTTCTAATAATTTGTGAATTGTATAACACCGGTTGAACTTGAACCCTTGATCTTCACCATACAAAAGTAGTTTTATAATTAATTTTCATCATTGAATTAATAGCAATAAGTTTATTTTGAAGAGGCTCACATATAAAGTATCTCGAAATATTATCGAGAGTAAAAGAATCAGTTAAACGAGATTTAGAAGCTGGAATATCACCTCGACGATTAACAAATTTAACCACTACACATATAACACGACCCAAAAAAACTTCACTTACCGATACATGAGTAATTCATCGTGTTACTTTTATATTTCTTCTCCTCAAAGTAGTGGAGTGGTTAGTACGATTAATCAAACCAACATGAATATGGCTTGTCCGCATTATGCATGCACGACAATGTACAATGAGAGTACTAGTACTCCATAGTAAATTGTCAATTCGAATGGACAAGTTAACTTGTGATAAGAAAGCCGGTTTTGTTTTGGGGTTAATGAGAAAAGAAGGTAAAAGACAATGGAAATATTGGATACACAAGACAAAAATATGATTGGAGGATAGAAAGCATTTTTTACGTGCAAAGGAAGATTGAGATCTTTTCTCTTTTAGACTTTGGAGGGTTGTTTTGTCTTCCACCTAAAGTTCTTTTGCCATACGAGAAAATTAAACGCAGAATAATTCAACTATAATTATGAGAGTTCGAGGGACAGGCGCCTACAAAGGCAGGAAAAAAAACAAAGCATGACATGAATTATCTCAAATTGTACATTGGTCACGTTTATTTCACTGATTCAAGTTTAGAATTCAAGTTTTATTACAGTAAAAAGCTCTCAAAAACATCAACATCTAACTTTTTTATTACAGTAAAAAATTCTCACATAAAGTCACAATCAGTGAACTAAACGAGCCCTTAAGTTTTTCATTTTTACGTTTTGGATAGTTCAATTATTTTGAGTCTAAAAATCTAATCCCAAGTGATAATTTCGAATAGTATGCTCTAATTTGAATTTCCATGTCTTATCTTCAAGAAAATTTTACTCTTTTCTCCTTTTCATGAACTATAAGTCATACACTATACAATGTGCGGACAATTTTTTTTTTTTTTTTTGTTTTAATGGGAGTTTTCATTTAATTTAGGGGGCCAAAATTTGATTTATCTCAGAAAAAAAAGGCACGAAAAAATCTTAATTTGATGCAATGCTCATTCCGGGGAATAATATTCAGGACAAAGTACGATCACATTTACACTTACAACTAGTTGTAGCACAGTTGACTCATGGTGAAATATGTTCATGAGACGAGTAACCCACAATAAAGTGTCAATAACACTATTTTCATTTTTTTTTTTTTTGAAAAAACAATAACACTAGTTGCCACTCATTTTTTGCCGCTCATATCTTTCACTATTTTGAGAGCTGTATTTATACCTTGTTCATTTTGGTCTCGTTTACTTCGTAGATTCAAGTTTTCAATTCAATTTGAGATGTGACATTTTTTGAGAGCTTTTCACTGTAGCAGAAAAAGTTAGATGTGACATTTTTTAAGAACTTTTTACTGTAAAAACTTAAAACTAAAAACTCAAATCGGTAAAATGAACGAGGTCTTTATAATTTAAATCATATTATTATAGTATTTTTTCTCAAATAAATTTAAATTTAAATTTTTATTATAATATTTTTTTCTCCTATGCACAATTTAAATCATAGTGCATATTAAATCATAATTTAAATTGTGCAAACGAAACACAACTCAAATTATGATTTAAATTGTATAAACGAACACACTTTAGTTCCAAAATGATTATAGAAATAGTCAAAACAATAATTACCAATTTCAAAGCTTATTATGAGGCTAGAGTTACCCTAACATAGTACTGGAACTCTAGGTTGAATCTTTCAGATATCTTTGACCAAAAGTTGTTCTCATCAGCAAAGTGATGAATAGGGAAAGCATGTTTTCTTTCAAAATAGGCCGAACATTTAAATAATTTGCAAATCCCAAGAACAAGAGAAGTATATTATTTATTAGGAAAGTCATACTTCTTTTTTTTCTTTTTGAATTTTCATCATTTCACTAGTAATTTTTTAGTAAAAAAAAATTGATGAAGAAAAAAGAACAGAAAACACTGGAGAGCATGCATGATCTCGTATAGAGTCTCTTTATCAATGAGATCAAATTTATTGTTAAATTTAATTAAAATCATATTAGATTTAAAAAATACTTAGACTATAAAAAAAATTCATATTTTATATCACAAGAAAAAAAAAAGTAGGTACATACTTATTGCACTACTACATATAGAAAGGATCATGATGAAGAATTGAGGATCAGTGATTATAAGCATGATTACTACAGAATTCCAAGTGCAGGTCAAATTAATGATGGAGGCATGTGGATAACATTTGATAAAATTGAAACAATTAATATCAACATCACCGAAAGCACGACACTGGATAAAGCTGTGGGGCACTATATTTTCATGCTCTGCAATCAAAAAGTGAATTAAAACAATTGTATTAATGATGATTGAGAGAAATGGCCCGGAGAGAATTAGCTTGATCAATCATATCTTAATTCTTGATTTAGTGATTTAAATGCTAACTCTAGAAGGAAATTTAGATGCTAAATTTTTATTATAACTTTTAAAGAGATCACGGTACGACTTATTCTTTTTAACTGTCATAGGTACTGTAATTTTAACTGATAAATTCAGAGTTCAATGGTCTAATGCGTTAGTGTCGACACATGACTACTACAATCACTAATCCGACCATTAAAAACTTAAAGGACGTTTGGTTGATAAATTCAGAATCATGATTCAGAACTATTCTCGATTTATGTGTATTTTTTGTGAGAGAAAATACTATAGCGAGTCATGAATCATGATTCGAACCATGACATGAATCCTTGATCTAAACGCACTCTTAATCTAATGGTTAGTTCAAGAGGGAAAAAAAAAATCCGAAAATACCCAAACTTTTAACCAATAACTAGGTAGAGAAGCTGGTACATTACAAGGACAGTCCTAATAACTAATAAGCATGGTACATTGCAAGACCAACTTTAGGGTCACCAATTATATTGAGGCTTAAGCAAAGAGAGTCCAAAATTGTTCCCACTCCATTTATTCACACATCAATGAGTTTCATGATCCATTTGCTTTCAATTTTATCTCAAATGTTTTCATATTTTGTTTAAACATCTTACAACACGTGTTCCCATTACTTTTTCTTTCCAAATGAGCGCCCATGTAACCATAGGATAACCAATAGTGAATTGTAGAAACTTTGTGAAATTATAATGAACTAATACCCATTGCTATTTATACTCATAAAACACGCCTCCACCTAATGATTAGCATCACATTATAGCACATTTGTTTTAAGGTTTTAACCACAATTCAAAACTTTTTGCTATAGCATTTTATCTCGCAAAAAATTTGAATTTCTGTTATCCGACACTAGTTCGGCACAAAAATAGATCAACTCCGCTACCCGAATGTAGAGTTGTGGAGTTCATTAAGAGCATAAGAAGCTCAACCTACTTCACGGCAGTCAACACTATCTTACCATAGAAAAGAATAAAAAAAAAGTATAAAATGATATTACAAATAGTCCCCACTCAACATTTTATTTTCTTTTGTACAATTGCTAGAAATGGAGGAGATTTATAGTAAATCTGAAAGCAATCACATTTAACTAAGGTTGCCAATCTCACAAACTAACTGCATATCCTCATATGTGTGTGTGTCTATATATATCGTTTTACAGAAACTTAATATGACTTTTCTTTTCATTTTGATGTTCCCAAAAATACCAAAAACAAGATCTGTGTATATAGAGCAAATCCAAGAAATTGTTTTATTTAAAACTCTAATGGTATCATTGGATCAAGCAGTTACTGCCATGCTCCATCATTGAAGTTAATTTTTTTTCCCTCTCCTTTTAGAAATGAAACCTACTTTAAAGATGTGGGCCAATCCAAAACTTTTTTTTTTTTAATTCTCTCCCTTTCCTCTTAATTTATGTTAATTAAACCAAATTAATGACTAATTAACTACAACTTCCTCTCTATAAATTGAGATGGAATCCAAGCCAAAATGCAGCACTCACCACTCGACATCTCTCACATTCTCTCTTACACTCTCAATCTCTCTCTGAGCTTAACGGCTGCATAACTTAGCTTGTATGAAAATGAAGGCAACACACATTGCAGCAGTGTTTTGCACTCTTCTTGTGGTTCTCCTTGCCAAATCACAGGTCTCAATGGCGGTAACTTGCAGCCCGGTACAACTGAGCGCCTGCGTGAGCGCGATCACGACTTCAAGTCCGCCGACTCAGCTATGCTGCACCAAGATCAAGGAACAGAAGCCATGCCTTTGCCAGTACCTCAAGAACCCCAACCTCAAGAAGTTTGTGGACTCACCAAATGCAAGAAGAGTTGCCAACACTTGCAAAACTCCTTTCCCCAAATGCTAAGAAACTCCGCCGCCACTAAATTACAGCCCTTGAAGAGACTCTTTTCAGTCTGTTCTGCACTACTATGGATAATGCTTCTTGGAATAGTTTCATGGATTAGAGACTAGAGAGAGTTAATTTATTTATGTATTCTTAACTTGGGGTGTTTTGTTGTTATGTCTATGTTGTTACTATGGTACTTCATGTACTTGGGTTGTGATGGAAAATAATGTTGGGGGTCTTGTTTAGAATGTTACCACTTTCTGTTACTTTGGTGTGGTGTATAAGATAGAAGTTCTTGTTTGCAGTGGCATTATTCATAGTAACAAGTGTTAGATCATGATGTCTACCTATCCCTCTGCTTCTCTCTCTGTAGATATGTTTGGATTATGTAATTTTCATTTCTTTCACTACTACTATAAGAATCTGGCCTTCAGTTGCTAGTTACTCGCTTCAGGTATGGGTGGCTTTGCTCTAAAATTCTGTTAGGCAAGTTTTTTTACTTAATTCACCAAAAAAAAAAAAAAAAGGTAGTCATAAGTCATGCATGACCCAAATTTTTCTAAGGGTTATTTTCACTTTTCTCAGTTGATCCTCGACATACATTATTAGAGGTCTAGCAACTCTGACATTTCTGACTTACAAAGCCTCCATGTTCATGGCAGATTTTCGTCGGCCATATGGATGAGGATTTTGTTTCTCTTTTCGCTTTGAACGCATAAGAAGAAGAACCATCTCGATCACAGTGGAAATGAACCAGTTAAGAAATTTTTTGAAACTTAGAGTTTTTATTAGATTCAACGATAATAAATTAGCCGAAGGTCAAAACCTTTTTATTGCATATCACTATGTTGTAGATTACGATTATTACAAATCGTTACACAACATTATGTTGGTGGAATGCTCATACATTTCAATTAAGTATTTCATATGAACACCTTAAACATCACAAGAGGGGTCTTAATGATTACGGTGCAAATAACTATTTAAATTGGCATGCTTTGATCTGCGATCCAAACTATACTTTTAATACGAATATAAAGTGTGATTCAAATTCATAATAAAATGAGAATGTGTATTTCGATAGTGTTGAAAACAATCATTTTTGCAATTTCTTTGCCTAATAGCAATTTCTTAAGATACGTTATTTTGTTAACTAGTTTTGTAATTCTTTGGTATTAGAGCAGGTACACTTTCCATATAGTTAGACTTTAATATTTCAAGCCGAGGCCAAGTTTCAAAAAGAAAGATTGGCGCGCGCGCGCATATATATATATATTAAAGAAACATTTGGGATTAAACAAATTTGTTTATTCAGCTATTAAATCACTGGACTATAATCTCACAATAGTGTGGCTCAATCAGTCACCACAAAGAGGGCGATTTCGGAGGAAAACTCCAAAATTTTTACATGTTACAAAAGATAAGAATTTGGAATAATTACATCAACAAAAACAACAACAAACAACTAGGAAAACAAAAAATACTCTTTTATCACAAGTTAAGCAGATTAGAGATTTGGTTCCAGCCAGCAATCCACGGTCTTTTATCAGACGGATGAGAAAAATTGAGCTCAAACATCTCCCTGGACATGTTGCCACCTTCGCAGAACCCGACTAGCTTGGCAACTATTTCAGCACTTTCTTGTACATGCCTAGCATCATGGGGATTTGTCCAAAGTTTGTTCACAAACTGTATCTTCCTCTGCTTTCCTTCAAGTGGGACATCCCATTTCATGTACAATACATCTCTCTCCTCCGCAGTCAAACGGGAGGTCAATCTCTTTGCAAGGAACTCTCTTTCACGTCTAAGTGCTCTAATGCTGCAATCCAATAAGTTAAAGTTGTTCAATAATAAGGTCAAAAAGTGAATGTCATTCGAAAAACAGAAGCAAGATATCAGCACAAGCACAGTGCGGGATGATTGTTGGGAAATGGACCTTGATGAAAGAGAGATTGTGGGCTCATCTCCCACATGAGCAGGGCTTGCATTCCCAATTTGTACCAGGTGCTGCTGCAACCATGTCAAGCGCCTCATCTCGACTTCCATGTAGATTTGATCAGCTGGATCTCCTTTGAATAGTAAATAAAACTGTGTTCTATGAATTATAGAGACAAAACAGAAATCCCATAACTCAATAATCTGCTGCCTTTGCTCCTTAAAACTGACTTGCCATGACACCTGAGGCTTCTCTGGCTCGCATGCATTCTCATCATTATCTAAGTCGTAACCAGCTTCTTCATTCGCCTCTAGCTCCAGGACCTATAGGCATGCCAAGAATTGAAATTTAGTAAATGACATAAAAAAGTTGGGGAATCGAATATCTTCTTTGGCCATTCTGGTTCATACCTGGCAAACAAGTAGCTGCTTTTGGTATTGCAATTTGGCCACCCTTTCTTTCAATTCTGTTACATATGCTCTTATGCTTCTTACATTCTCTTCTGCTGCATTTTGGAACATCTTCTGCATTTTCTTCATGTTCACGGAACTACAACGTCGGAAAACTGGAGTGTTTTCTTTTGATGAGACATCTCCACCTTCTTCACTCTTTGTTGGCGTCTCCTTCTCAGACTCTGGCAGAGTGTCAATGGACACATTCTCATCATTTTCGGGAGCTCTATTTTCAAAAATCCCAGTCTCCAAAACTTGATCAGGAGTTGATAGAGGCGAACAGGGGGATCTTAAGAAATTTTGACGATTGGCTGCATTACTTGAGGACAAAGGAAGTAACTTTTTCTTTTTTGATTCTTTGTTGGTCTTGGGGGACGGCTCAGTGTTGGGCTGTTGATATTTGCTAGGAAGTGACATAACCAATTTGTCTATAGACTTCTGAACATTTTCTAGCTGCTCCTCGAGATCTGCAATAGTGCTGCCCTGTGAATGAAGTCTTGTAATTTCTTCCTTGAGGTTAGCGCTGACACTCTTGTTTGTGGCAATCCCCGTTCCAACTTCAACTTCTTTCGGGGCTGATCGGACAGCACGCATTTCCCTTATTTCTGCTTGCAGGTTAGCAATCGTTTCGGCAGCATCTTGGTTTCCTAGCCTATGACAAGCAACCTCCTTCTGTAGTACTTCCAAAGCTCGATTCGCTTCTTCTCCAAGCTGCTCCTGAAGGTGTTCAAGTTTGCGAATTTCATGCATAAGTGTGAAAGGAGCAGTTGATGATTGCCTCATCGACTGCCTTAACATTACACTTCTTGCTTTATCAACACGGCCTAGATCCTTGGTGTCCGAATGTGTTGAGAATGCATTGGAATAGGAAAGACACTTCTTCACAGAGGGGCTAGGTGATTCAAATGGATTTGAACCCTGAAATATGTACAAAGTAACAATGAGTTGACCAGTTGACATAAGCTATTTGTGGGAGAAAGAGTGAGAGAAACAAAGAAAGGGAGAGGAAAATAGACCTGCTGGTCCTCCTCTATTTTTTTGCGCAACTCATCCACTTGTGATTGAGCAAGATCTCTTTGGCGTCTCAGTTCTTCAATTTCCATTTCCATCTACAAACAAATGACAACGTGGTGTAAAAAAAAAAAAATTGAACAAAAAAAAAACAGAAGAATTCCTTTCAAACTTAAAGCCAAAAACAAGAAAGATATTGTCCGCTATCATACCTGATGAATTTTCAAATCTTTTTCTCTTGATGGATCAGGCGTTCGCAGCTCTGCTTCCAGTCGCGCCACTTCCTTTTGCAGGCGTTTCACTAATTGCTTGTCTGAGACAATCTGGGAAACATATGTAAAAAGAAATAGATAAGTCTCCACCAAAATACAAACAAATGCAACCTAAAATACAAAACTAGAGAAAAATAGTACCATGTTCACTTGGGCGTTATTCGTTACTTCCTTTGCCCGAGAGGCAAACAACAGAGTATTTCGAGATTGTTCAACATGGCTCAGTGCTGGACTTAAGGTGCATATGATGGCAGTTCGTGCATTTCCACCAAGTGAATGCTGCAGTATGCGAGTGAGCTTCGAATCTCTATAGGGTATATGGCCACTTCTTTTGCCCACACTACAGATAAAAATAATTGACAAAGGTGAACAGAAGTTATATAGCTAACCAAGTTGGACCTTTAAAAGATTAGTTCTCCCCTTAGGAAAATGTTTCAATAATTGAAATACAACATATACTAGAGATATACTAGACAACTCTGTGGTCATGAAAAATTGTACGATTGAGGTTGATTCATGTTGCTGATGTAAATATGCTGGTATTTCAGTGAGAAAGTGAACAAAATATAATCATCATTCATATGTAAAGCAGATTTGCTTGTACGACGGATTCCGACCTCAGCTTTCTAATTACAGTTGTAAGCGTCATCAGGCTGAGGTTGATATGGCAACCTTCCCTTAGTCTAGCACCATCCGCATGTGTCTGAGAGGCCCTTTCACTTCCAGCTAGATCCACAAAGTTCTGCAGGTCATTGAAATTAATAATTATGATCAGAAAGAAAGTAATCATTCACGTAACTTTTGTAGAGCATAAAGCTTCGCATACTATCTTACCAGGCTCGCAACAAAAGACCTCACACAACCGGAATTTTCACGGACTGTGCTCTCGATTGTCTGTGAAAAGAACCAAATTTGTTGCTTAGAACATGTCAGTTTCTCTAAAAGGAAAATTTTGTTGAACTAGTATCAAGAGAAATTATGTTAGCGAACATACCAGCCTTATTATCTGGTGTGAGCGTGAGCTGGTATCATTTAATGCAGTTTCTCCAACTTGTCTTTGCGCTGCCGAGAATGAAAAAACATGTGTCAATAGATGTGACAGCCATCAAACCCTTGAGGCACAAGGCCAAGAAAGGGTAAGTTGTGCAGTCTCACATCGCCTGTAGATAAAGATAGGTCATGGTTTATAAGGAATGACACCACCTCCCAATGGTATGAGGCCTTTTGGGGTGAGGCCCAAAAACAAAACCGTGCAGGCTCAGGTCCAAAGCGGACAATACCATACCAGGTGGGGGTATAGGTCGTTACAATAGATTTATCAAAAAATAAGGGAATATTCATCTGAAAGAAATAAATTAAGCGACAGCTTTTCTAATTTACTTACCCTCACAAATACTGATCAGATGTCTCAAATGTTGGTCATCCTTTGCAGTTTCCTCTACCAATTTCTCAACCACAGTACCTTTCTGTATCCATGACAGACATAAGCCTTCCAGTTTCTGGCAATTACTTTCATATGACATACACAAAATACCACAATTACCTCTGGATCATCAAGAAGCTTCAGGTTTCTACCAGAATCTGAATTTAACAGGTCCCTAACATTCTCATTATATATTTCAAGTCCTGAAATTTTTATAGTAAAATCTCTCTCTGGAGCCTGCACTCATGCCGGAACAGAAGATTAGTTTTGAAACAATATCTTCTGATTAAGAAAACATAAAATTATGACAACAGCAGGTAAAGGAAGGTTACATTTATAATGTGCGTGTAGATATCATTAACAGCTTTCTCAGTTATTCCTCTCATCGTGTATGTCTTTCCACTGCTAGTTTGTCCATAAGCAAATATAGTAGCTGCAACATTAAAAACATAAAGTAATTGCTAAATCACCAATGAGATTCTGAAAGCAATTCAAGAAGATATAATAATACAAGGTTATACACTACCATTGATGCCCATTAATGCTGATAAGGCAACATTTTTCACTCCATCGTATACTGTTTCAGTTAAACAGGTGGGACCAAAAACTTTATCTGCAAGAAGTACATATGAAACAAATAAAATGTAATGAAATCAGGTGAAGAAAAACAAACAAATTTGACAAATTTCAATTATAAAGACATACAATACGCATTGGTTCCTCTGTCTTTCATAATAACATTTAAAATGAAAGTAAGAATTGGAGAAAAAACTGCAACCAAACAGATACAACCCCTAAACGGGATCTTCTACACAAAAAAACAAAATCCACAATTTTCACCAGCATGGTACAGATCTTCAACAAGTTTGAAACATAAAATTCGTATGTAATAAAAGTGCCACAAACTAAAATATTATGTGTATTTCTATAGTTTATCAAGAATGGAGAAAATTACGATAGAAATAGATTTTAGTGTGTACCAAACGTAAATGAGGCTGGTTGAGCTAAACGCTCAAGAGATGCTGGTTTATAAACAATGGTGTTATCATCAATACACTCCCAAGCAACTTGGTCTTTGGCTAATTGTTCCCTCTTACTTAGGGGCCTTAACCTCACAGTAACCACAATCTTCTCTTCTTTGGCTCTGGGCCCACCTGGAGTTGAAACTGGGCTCCTGTCTATCTTTGAGGAAGGTGTTCCAGGAGTTCTGACCGTCATTTTGAATGTGGTTTAAACTGAAAAGAAAGAAACCCCAATTGGAAACACCTCTTTCTGGAGAGGACTAAAGAATTATATTACCAGCTGCCACATCCAACAAAGAAAAAAAAAAAAAAGAAGGCCTCAATTAAATGTAAAGTTTTTATGAAAATTTGAATTATACAGAAGTACAATCAACGCATACAGCATCAATTACAGCTCTGAATACATTAACTACACTATTATATATATATATATATATATATCTGCTGATTTTTTTTGCTGAACCCTATAGTTTGGATAATCTGAAACAAAACAGAGTACAATGAAAATTTCTAAGGAGGAATGAAAATTTCCAAGGAAACTTTTAGAAAGTAATTTTAACAAACATATACAGAGCTTCAATGACAGATTTAATGCATCTATAATCATTAATGAAGCTTTTTTTTTCCATTTCCATTTCAATGTGTGTCTGCTTACATGGGGAAAAGGAAAACGTTCCTCATAAAACCACTTGAGTTCTAAATAAGCACGTCATTTCTCCCAAATCCTGACTTATATTCCATGTTTTCAGTCTCAGATTCGGAAATCGAAACTTTTAGCAACTTCATAAACAAAAAAGTGGAAAAAGGATACTAAATGTAGATCAATGAGCTCGAATTCAAATTCAATAATTAAAAAAAAAAAAGCCTCATCAGGAGAGACGAAAAATAAGTTCAAATATTCTGAAATCAGAACTGCTCATCAATCTTCAAAAATGACCCAAAATTAGATACTACTGAGAAAATTAAAATGGAAAAAAAAAAACAAAAACAAAAATACGAGGAAAAGGAACTTGTACTCACAAAAATGCGAAGAAGCCGAGCTCGACAAAGAAACTTGTCGGACTTTCGGCGGGGAAAACGCAGATCAGATCAGACCAGACCAGATCAAATCAGAGGAACACAAAATCGACGAACAAAGATTTTGAAGCTTACAAACCAAAACCCGAATTCGAAAAACCGAGGAGCGTCGTAAGAGAGAAGAAGAGCTGGGGGATTGAAATTCTACGGCTTTAATGGAAAGAAAGAGAGAAGAGAGAAGAGAGAAGAAAGGAAAAGCTTTTATGAATGGTTTGTGTTTTGTGCGTTATGTTTTTGTCTCTCTCAGCCCCAAAGCATTTTTGAATTTGGTGTCCCAACGGCTAGTTTATTTTGCCAGCCCTTTTTTCTCTTTTTATTTATTTTTAATTCTTAAATTTTGTTTTTTTATCATTATTCGCCGATTTTTCTTTTTTTCTTTTTCCTTTTTTTTTGGGTTTTCTTTTATGTCGTTCTGGACATTTTCGTGAGTTAATCCGCCGAGTAAAGCGGGACCGAGTTTCAAGTTTTAACGGTTTTTATTACATTTTAATTATTTCTCTGTTATTATTTATAAAATTAATTAATTCCTTCAGGATGCAAAAGGACAAAAAGGAATATGAGTAAAGTTATGACAATTACGGTTGGAGCCACACATCAATTATTAGTTTTCTACCAAAATCCAAAAGAAACGAAGGAAAAATCTGCGGAAGGACAAAAAAAAAAAAAAAGAAACAAAAGAAAAGAGAAGAAAAATAGAAGTAATAATTACACTGCATAGCAAATTTATAAAAGTGTAGTTTGAGTATAAGAATTGTTTTAAATATCTCAGTAATAATAAAAATGACATGGTAATTATTTTAAGAGTAATTGACATTATTAGTTATTAAAATTTTTAGTAAGTGACAATTCGGTTCATTTTCTTTTAATTTTTGTAAAATGGTCATTAAACTCTTAAAATGTTGACAATTAGAACTTTTCAATCTATTTTATATTTCTAACAGAATCCCTCATGTGCAATATGTGTGACCAGATGTTGAGGGTATTTCAGTAAAATGGCTATATTATACATTAATAAAAATTTAAAAAAAGACAAACCGTTGTTACCACTTTTGAGCAACTCATCTTTCTTCACAAAGCTATTAAACTGCCCCACCCACGTATTGCAGATTCTCACTACGTTGTATGGCTACTTCTTGAAATCTAACGAACACGGTTACGCCATCCCGAACCTAAGGTTCTCCTCCATAAACTAGTTACTTTTCTCTCTTCATTATCGTGGAGTTAGAATCACATCAGGTGTCACTCTTAGATACTGTCATTCTCAGACTGACTCAGATTTAGCCCTACCCAACTGGGGCTAACATCATCTCTCATAAAGACAAATCATTCTTACCACTTTTGACATCAAAATCGCGATCACAATCTCCTCAGACTCTGCCACCTAATGTACAACCACATCGTGCCTAACGACTAGCCCACTTGGACCAACTAGAAGAGGCCACAAAAGCCTCACCCTCCATATCAACAAGCATGCCGCAAAAGAGCCCTAACAAGAGTTTTGGTCCTTAACATTAAAATTAACATAAAAATCTTAAATTTAACAATAGACAATCAAAACTATATTGCATAATAACTGAAAATTTCACATATATAGTTACATTAAACTTAAAATGTTCTAATTCTCAATGCATCTTAACAATAGTAAAGTGCATATTTTGAACATATTGTTACACCACGGTTGAAGATTTGACCATTCCTTTGGACGACAAGCGCCGAGGACTCCATGTCGAGAACCGGTTACTGGTGCTGAGGGATAGATGTACCTAACATACCCTTTATACGTCGAGAGTTCATGCGGGATAACGTGCGTCGAGAGCCCCGTTGAGGTTGTAAAAGCCACGACGTCGAGATAGCAGCCCGGTCCAATCCGAGGATAGTCCTGTCAACTCAAGGGAAGATACACTGTACCAACCACTTGTAATGACTGAGAAAATTTCAGACTTTAAATAATACAATTTATTTATTTAAGCCAAGGATTTTCCTAGAAATTATTATGTGACTGAAGGATTTATGGAATCAATATATGTATTCCTAAATTCTGTAGCAGATTTCATGTTAAGTTCATGTTTTCGATCAAGTAAATTCGATCGATAAATTCTTGCCATACTTTAAGGCGGAATAATTTTCAGTACAAGTATAGTTTGAGAATCTTAATTTCAAGAATCTCCAAACACATCATGATGTTAGCAGCGTAAAAAAAACGCACTGACATTTTTAAAGAAGAGAAAATCCTTAATTGCCAGACAGCTAGGTTAAAGTCACAAGATAGATACCTATAGTAGAAGGGTACAATGTGAGCTAAGGAGTTGACACCGTCAGAAATAATGTCATTCCCGGGATATAATGCAGAAAAGTTAAATTTAGAATTTATTCAGTCTAGAATTAATTTCAAGACTTGAAACAGTTTAAGATATTACGCGAGTAAAAATTTAACGTGATATCAAAGCAGACGAGGATTTAAAAGTTGAACTGTAAATAAGTAGTAGAAAAAAAAAAGAACTGTCATAAACAAGAATTTCCTGTCAGCTAAGTACCCTTTACAGTCAGTATGATTTTTA